AATTGCTCTATTAGCAACAGGCTAAATGTTGTTACTAGGGAAAGTAAAAAGGCTAATGATCATGCTCATCTTGGGATAACTACAAAAATATTGTTAATGCCACCTCTGAGCTACAATTTTAACTGCAGAAGTCAGACCATCCAAATTACTGTTTCCACAGCAACTACAATTCAGTCGGCTCTGCAAAGCTTGTCATAGTTGAGGACGTTACCTCTATATTATCGTTGCTGGGGAAAAGTGCACTTATTTTATTTATAGCCAAGCTGTGCAAAGTTGTATTTTGTAGTCTTTTATTTGGAAACGTGGTCATTAGAGACCGACAAAAGTCCTTCTGAATCACTGAAATATATGTTTTGATACATGGAAAAATACTGCATAGCTCAGAGCTTCCCATTCACAATGTCATAATGGCCTCCAGGACAGTGAAATTTGAAAGCCCTCTATTCTTCCCTAATGAATATCCAAAATTTGAGATCTTGAGCAATATAGTCCCAGCAATCAGGCTACCAGGACAAAGAGAAAGAAGATGGTGTACTCCAAAATGGCTTTGAGAAAAACATATACTAATTTAAACATTCAGGAGACTTATACCTAGTGTGTTAATGATGATTGAATTTGTGATTTTAATGTAAATAGTCTATAAATCTTGGTTTGATTTCAAGCATTTTCTTCTCAGTGGGAAAAAATATCCGTGGATGAGAAGTGACAAGAATGTTAGAAGCAAGAATAAGGTGTTCGTTCATTTCAGTTATATTTCGGAACATTTGTCAGATGCCAAAACGTTAATATGAAGTGGTTTGACAAAAACTAGTCATTTTCCCTTAGTTAACACATTTACCCTTCCAGCCCAGAAAGTTATCTGATATTGACACGGGGATGAAATTAACCTAATCCTCCGGTTGTTATTTTGTTGTTTTGGTATCTGTTTTTGAAAATGTATTAAGCAAGTTCTTGCCTATCTATTAGAGAAGTCAGTCATATCCAAGATTGCAGAGAGATAGAAACTGCCCATAAACAGATGTGGAGCTAAAAAGGAAGAGATTAAAAATGAAATTATGTATAGAAGAATATAGACTCATGACCAAATAAAACCAAATCACGGAATTTTTCTCTCTCCAAAAAGGAGCAAAAAAAAAAGAGTTAAAGAAAAACACCTCACTAATAGTAAGCAGACAAAAAACCCATAACCAAAAGCAATACATTTTAGTAACTGGTGACTGAGTGGCTTTTGATTTCTAACCCTGCCTCCAGCCCCCCTTAAAGACATTCCTTAGGGGTAATGATATCAGGAGAGGAGAATACGAAGCAAGAAAAAAAACACTGTGGACTGCTTCTGTTTATAGATGTAAAGTCCTCATGTCTAGGTTCTGAATTGGAGAACTGATCTAAAGTCGCAAGGGACCACTCCATCCGAATGTTGTGTGTTCCAAGTACGTGGAGTGAATTCTGGTTTGGGGCATTTAGCAAATTCCCAGAAGAATGAGCAGCACTTGAAGACACAAATAAAGACAACATCACCTCAGCCAGATTCTTCCTCTTCCTGTTCTAGCAGGCGTTGAAGAATAGAGAGCAGAAAGCATTTAGCCCCTAGATTCTTGCTTGAAAGGGCAAAGAAGCTGATCTCCAATATGATGGCAAGGAATCACCCACATTTTATCAGAAAAATTAAAATATCTGAAAAAATTAAAATACGTGCAAAATGGAAAGATCCAGTGTGGCAGCTACAAGTACTGCGTCAGAAAGGAGGCTAGCATGCAAAGTAGAAAGATGTGGGCTTGAAGAAGACGGGACTTAAGGAACAGAAACAGGTTCCTCACAATGACTTAAGAAGATAACTTGTACTCTTAGAATTTAACAAAGTATAAAAAGTATTTTTAAAATAGCCTAAAGACAAGGTGATAAAACAAGAATGAAATGAAAAGAGAGATTTAAAGTCTGACAAATCAAGAATTAAACACATTAATGCAAAAATGATATATAAATTAGAAATGGTAACATATATGAGACCTGTTGAAAATTTGTTTACTAACAATATGAAAAGTATTCTTATAATCACAGAGAATACAGATAACAGACAAGGAGATTAAAGACAGACTCTAAAAGATATTAAGACATTCAAATATTCTACACTATGAGGATAATTGGGTCCCTGAATAGAGACTCTAACAAAAGGAACAGAAGAGACACTGAAAGATATAATAAAATTTCCCAGAAATGAAGAAAGGACCAAGTCTATTCCAGGAAATATACTATGGAATGCTCAAAACGCAAACATATCTTAGTTAAGCTATTAAACCTCAAGGATAAAGAAATAATTCTTGAGATACCAAATCAGAATAAGTCAATTTCCTACAAGGGAGAAAAAAATCAAGCTAGTCTCAGACATCACTATTGCCACAGCTGGGGCCACGCTCTCTGAAAATAGAGAGAGAAAATCACTCAAGGATATTATATCCCATCAAGATGTTGTTAAAATATAAAGACAACAGGGAGACATGCTTCAACCTGAAAGAACTAAAACAACTTTGAGACCTTGTTGAAGAAAATAGGCAATAACGAATGTCCAGCCAATTAAAAAAAAATAAAAATAACTCAGAAACGGAGAAGTTAAGGTGAGAATCACTAGGTTTGCTTAAATGCAGAACTAATACTTAATAACTATGTACACTAATATTACAGATCAAATATGAATGCTATCAGTTTGGAGAAAATAAAAATAATAACTAAAAACTATGGAAGATAGGGATCAGAGATGGAAAAAGTGTAAGTACTATGTTCTCATCTTTCCCAGCAAGAAGTCAATCAATACTATCTAGAATTATAACATGTCTTTTAGAATGCAACACATAATTACCCCAATCTCAACATTTTATAATCTTTTTTTTTTAACCTTAGAATGATCATTTAGGACATAAAAACTATTATGGTACAGAAACTTTTCTTTGAAGTTTAACAGTTCTTTTTCATTTTCATCTCTACTATTCAATCATAATTAAAATGTATGCTTTTTTTGTTCAATGACTAGTGGTTAAAATTTTTAATTTTAAAAATAAAATATTTTTTAAAAAGAAAAAAGTGTAGCACTAGGTATGACCCCATTTTATAAGTCTCTCTGCATATATTCTTAAAAGGTGGTCACAATGATGTTCATTTAATGATTATTTCTAGGTTGTGAGGCATTTTTTTAAAACTTTAATCTTTGCTGGGTGTGGTGGCTCATGCCTGTAATCCCAGCACTTTGGGAGACCAAGAGAGGAGGATCGCTTGAGCCCAGGAGTTTGAGACCAGCCTGGACAACATAGCAAGAACTCATCTCTACTAAAAAATGTAAAAATTAGTCGAGTGTGGTAGTGTGCACCTGTGGCCCCAACTACTCAGGAGGCTGAGGCAGGAGGATTGCTTGAGCCCAAGAGTTGAAAGCTGCAGTGAACTAAGATTACACCACTGCACTGCAGCCTGTGTGACAGAGTGAGACCCTGTCTCTAAAACAAACAGACAAAAAAAGAAAACAAACAACAACAACAACAAAAACCCTGTAATCTTTGAAACATTTTTTTTTTTTTGAGACGTAGTCTCCCTCTGTCACCCAGTCTGAAGTGCAATGGCACAGTCTTAGCTCACTGCAGCCTCCGCCACCCAAGTTCACATGATTCTTCTGCCTCAGCCTCCCAGATAGCTGGGACTACAGGCGTGCACCACTATGCATGGGTAATTTTTGTATTTTTAGTAGAGACGGGGGTTTCACCATGTTGACCAATCTGGTCTCGAACTCCTGACCTCAGGTGACCCACCCACCTCGGCCTCCCAAAGTGCCGAGATTACAGGCATAAGCCACCATGCCTTGTCTAATCTTTGAAACTTTCTGTATTTAAAAAAAAAAAAAAAAAAAAAATTATTCCAAGTCAGTATGCTTTATCTTAAAAGAATAACTGCATGAATTTTCTGAAAAACTAGAAAAAAATGCCAAAATGGTTAATTATGGGTGATCTGGATATTTTTTCTTGGTACACTTCTGTAATTTGTTTAATTTTAAAAATTAACATAACAAAGAAAAAACCCAAAAAACCAAAATTAACAAATTAGTTGAATGAATCAAGGGTGAAGGTAAGAGAATATGTGTTTGAGGGCATTCCTGCTTGCACGTCTCCTTATGGGGTGTTGAGTCCAGGTGGGGCCCCCTCTACCAGGGCCCAGATGGCACTGAAATCTCTCCTGGGCTCATCTTAATGATTAGAAGCCACTGGCTTTCAGTGAGCATATCTAAATGGGGGTGGTTTAAAGGACAATTCTCTTTCCTCCCAAAGGTGTAGAATAGAATTTGGGCATATGTGAAAGAGGATAAGAGAGAGACAGCCTTTGAAAACAAGTGCACTTTGGGGCTCCAACATTTTTTAACAACTTTATTGAAGTATAATTCACATGTCATAATATTCACCTTCTTAAAGTGTATGATTCAGTATATTCACCAAGTTTTGAAACCATCATCACTGTCTATTTCCCGAACATTTTCACCACCCCCAAAGGAAACCCCATACCCATTAGCAGCTCACTCCCCATACCTCCCTCCCAGCAGCCCCAGCACCCACTCATCTGTAGTGGTTTCTGTCTCTATTGATTTGCTTCTCCTGGACATTTTATATAAATGAGATCATACAAATGTACTCTTTTGCAACTGGCTTCATTCACTCAGCATAATGTTTTCAAGGGTCACCTGTGTCGTAGCAGGTGTCAGTACCTCGTCTGTTTTTCATGCTGAATAATATTCTCTTGTATGGATCAATCGCATATTGTTTATTGGTTCACGAGTTGATGGATATTCGGGTTGTTCCCATGTTTTGGTTATTATATGATGCTGTTATGAACATTCATTTACAAGTTTTTGTGTGAAGATATATTTTCATTTTTCTTGGGTATATACCTACGGGTAGAATTGCCTGATTATATGGTAACAATTTTTAGGAGTCAAACATGGAAACTGCCATCTTCCTCTTTGTTCCCAGGCAGAAATGGTGCACAGCGCTTTCCAGGCCCAGCGGTCTTTCCTTCTGATGGCCTCTCAGTACCAACAACCCCACGAGGTAAGACAGTGTCCTGAGAGGGAAGGTGTCCCAAGGTATGGGCAGTGTAAGATGGAAAACAAGGAGGCAACAGAAGCATTTATTATAGTTGACCTCCTCAAAATGAGACTTAGAGCACATGTAGGTTCTGTCTGTAATCTGGATCCTGGTCTAGAACAATTCTTCTGTCTCATAATCTCATTAATAGCAGACAAGTTTTTTTTTTTTTTTAAGTATGCCATTTGCGAAAAAAAGAAGAAAGCAATGTGTTCTCTTACTACTGATATGTCATTATGGTCAAATTCTTACTGTAACAAATGAACATTACCAGTTTAAAAGGTGAGTTGACTTATATCATCTTTATACTAGTCTCACAACCTTTTATAATCACGGAAGTGTTTGTAACTAATTTTTAGCCCAGATTTTGAGCTGCTTTGTTGTCAAAGACTGTTCACATCTATGATCATCTCTAACCTCCATGTATGGATTTTATTAGCTCCTATTTCCTAAGTAGCATAGATGGGCTAAACTGGTGGTTAAGTGTTTTGTGTTTATGGGTCGTCTATGGAGCTTCATTGCAGTTTCTGGTTCATCAGGCCTGGATTGTGTCCCAAGATTCTGCTTTTTAATAAGCTCCTGGGTGAGGCCTATGCTGCTGATCCTCATTCTCAAAACACCAAAATTGGAAAGAATTTTCATGAGTCTTTAAGAACTTAGGCATAGTCCACTTCGCCTTTCTCTTCCACCATAAATATGAATGAACTTTTCTTAGGTTAAAGATATTTAGAGGCGTTAGAGGATCTGATGCTAACTGCAATGATATTACCAATGTAGTAATTTTAACAACTTTTAATATATTGTAAAATTACCAAGTAAGGCCCATGGTAAATTTTAATACAGAAGGAATAAAATTGTGGGAACAGATGTTAAGAGCAAAGTAATGGTTGGCGGAGGTCCGTCACATTCCCTAGGCCCTATAAATTTCCCACTCTCTCTTTTTTTTTTTTTTTTTGAGACTGAGTCTTGTTCTGTCGCCCAGGCTGGAGTGCAGGGCGCGATCTCAGCTCACTGCAAGCTCCGCCTCCTGGGTTTATGCCATTCTCCTGCCTCAGCCTCCCGAGTAGCTGGGACTACAGGCGCCCGCCACCTCACCCGGCTAGTTTTGTGTATTTTTTAGTAGAGACGGGGTTTCACCGTGTTAGCCAGGATGGTCTTGATCTTCTGACCTCGTGATCTGCCCGTCTCGGCCTCCCAAAGTGCTGGGATTACAGGCTTGAGCCACCGCACCCGGCCAAATTTCCCACTCTCTAAACCAAAGCGTAGTCACCACCTGCCCAAACTACTGACATTGTATCATGCAAATAACTGCATTCCCTCTACCAAGGGTTCATAATGACAACTTTTGACTGTGCTAATTGTGTCACAAATGAAATTATTCATTAAAAAGTAGTCCTACTACTGGCATACTTTGTTATATCAGAAAAAAATAAAAATTGTTCTTTTGGCTAAATATTCTGCATTTGAAATTTAGTAACATTTATATAAGTAAAAAATAGAGTATACGTTATGATACAATAGCTTAAATGTAATAGCTCACTTTGAATTATAAAACAAACTCCTGAAATTGAAAAATTTGAGCTAAGAATCCTGGGAATCCAGAACTTTCACCTTCAGGGGATGACACTCAGCTCCATAAAGGGGCGAGACCTGAGACCCGAGACCCTCCCTGGAATGGTCGTTTCCAGCCATGTTTGTGCAGTAGAATCACCTGCAAAATTTTTAAAAAATACCAGTACCCAGGTCCCAACCCAAGAGTCTCTGACTTCATTGGTCTGAGGAGTGGCCTGGGCTTTGAGATTTCTATGGGCTTCATGGGTTATTCGGACTTCCAACCAGAGCTGTCAGTCCCCACCTGAGATGGATATGTCACCTCCCTCCACATGAAAGGAGTGAGCTCACAGCCTAGGTAGGAGGCTCTGTAGGGGTGAAAATATTCCGTGTTCCATCATGGATGCATTGTCCTCCGTGGTCTTCTCAATCTCTGCTTTGCAGAAGAGCAAAGTGAAACTGAGAAATCACAAAGTGATGTGTTGTAGATTCAGCCTTAGCCTGCCTTTTCTGTGAAGTGGGAGGCGAGGTGGTCCAATTGAGATTCTCAGGTAGAAGAAGAACTGTGAGTTTCCTCACTGGGTTACCACTCCGTCCCTTCCCTAAGCCTCAGAAACAGAGGCCTCTCCAATGGCTTTGCAGGCGTTAGACAAAAAAGCCACTCACTAGACATTGGATGAAAATGTGAGTGAATGAACAACGAATGAAGGCATTGGGTCTGTGACATTCCAGCATGAGCCAGGGTCAGGGACACTGTGTGGCTTAGCATGTGGCTGTGCAGATTCTTGGTCATATCTACAGTTTCCCTTTCTTACTTACTCTACTGCATCCTCTCTCTTTTTTTATCTTTTCTTTTTTTAAAGATGGATTCTTGCTCTTGCTCTGTCACCCAGGCTGGAGTGCAGTGGTGCAATCCTAGCTCATTGCAGCCTCGAACTCATGGGCTCAAGTGATCCTCCCACCTCAGCCTCCTGAGTTGTTATTACAGGCGTGAACCACTGTGCCTGGTTCTATTGAATTCTTGATAAAGGGGAGGGAAATGGGTTCCCAGGGAGGCACGCACTGGAAATGCCTAGCAGCACTTACCACAGTGCTCCATGTGCTGTAAGGCCTGGACCAGGACCAGCAAAATGCCAAGCAGGCTTATGATGCCTACCTCCCTTCCTGGCCCTTCCCTCTACTTCCCTTTCCTCTTTATTCAGAACACCATCCTACGACTTCCACCTGAGAGAAAAGCAGACCTGAGAGATTCCCACTTGTTGTTCGGAACCCCTGTCCACTCCAGTGGGGGTGGTACAGGCTCATGGGGGTGGTACAGGCTCATGAGGCTGAAGAGAAGTACCACAACCAGCGAACGAGACCTCGGGTTTTATTGGGGACTTGCATACAGGGGAGAGAGTCCAGTAGCAGAGGCTGGACAGGAGAACTACAACCACTTGCGAAAGGCATGTAATTTACGTAGCATTTTCATGTAACATCCTCCATCTAACAACCTCCACCTGATAACCTTCATTTAACCTAAAACAAAAGGCCTCCATCCCCCCACATGGCCGGTGTTCCACGGCATTCCCCGGGAAGCACCAGGGACTCAAATGTTCCTCATAGAAGAGCAATGGATCTCCAGGTTGGCCACTCCCAGATTCTTTAGTTGCAAACTCTGAACACACATTCAGGTGGATCTGCCATACAAGATCACTCTCAGGGTGTGCTCAAGTCATTGCTGTCAACTGCGTCTGTCACACAATCGCCACAGTGGTGAAAACAGTCTATGGCCAGACCTTGATCCACCCAGTATGCATTCTAGAAGATGCATCTTAAAGATGAGTATCATAATGCAGATCATATTTTCTCATAGGAACAATTATTATAACCATTTGTGTCTTACTGTCCTCCTTCTTTCAGGAGGAAGAGAATTAACTGCTGTAATTTCAGCTCTCATTGACATACAGCAGCGATTCTCCACCCTTAGCGTGCATGACAGTTCCCTGGAGGGTTGTCAAAACTCAGATTGCTGGGCCCCACTTACAGAGCTTCTAATTTAGTAGGTCTTGGTTGAGTCCCAAGACTCTGCTGTTCTAAAAAGTCCCCAGGTGATGTGATACTCCTGGTCCAGAGACCACACTTTGGATCCTGTGCTGTATGGATGGCTCTCACTGTTATAATTTGAGCTCAGATTTATTTCAGGTGCTTCCGAATTTCATTTCCAACTGTCTCTAGACCACTGCTTCTCAAACTTCAGTATTGATTTGAATCACCTGGAGATCTTGTTAAAGTGCAGAGTCTGATTCAGTTGGTCTCAAGTGGGGCGCAAGAGTCTGTAGTTCTAACAGGCTCCCCAGCGATGCTGGTGCTGCTGATTTCTCACTACACATTGAGCAGCAAGACTTCAGTCATTACCATCCAAAATCCCAGCAAGCACTGAATCCCTTGGTGGTCAAATCTCAAATTCATATTCTCTTCATATTCTCTTCTCCTACCATTTCTATAGCAAAGTACACTGTGTTATGCTGCAGTAACAAACATCTCTAAAATCTTAGTGATGGATAACCACAGAGGTTTATTTCTTGTGCACACTATATAGCTATCTGTTGCAAGTCAGTTCAATATCTAGTGGATGAGTTACTAAATAATGACTCATATAATTATTTACTTAGCGTTGTAACAGGGCTCTGAGAGAAAAGATATAGAATGAATCTTCAATAGGAGTTTTGGGCATTGGGGAGGGAAGATCTTTTAGGGTTGGAGGACCTTCCAGGGAGTCCCTTGGATCCTGCTAATGAATGCAAGTGACCACTCTTGCTGCCACAGCATAAGGCAAAATTAAGCCAACATTAGTGTTCGGTTGTGGCTCATGTCAGCCTTGTGAGACCCTGAGCAGAGAACCTAGCTCTGCCTTGGCCCAGAATTCTGACCTACAGAAACTGTGAGATGATAAATGGATATTGTTTTAAGCCACTAAGTTGTGGTAATTTGTAATACAGCAATAGAAAACTAATAGGGATTCTCTCAATTCCCTTGTTGCTGAACTCTAAGGTAATGAATTTTCTTAAACTTTTTGTGGGTACATAGTAGGCATATGTATTTATGGGGTTCATGAAATGATTTGATACAGACATGCTGTACATAATAACCACATCATGGGGAATGGGGTATCCATCCCCTCAAACATTTATCCTTTGTGTTGCAAACAACACGATTATACTCTTAACTTTTCTTTTCTTTTTCTTTTTTTTTTTTTTTGAGACGGAATATTGCTCTGTCACCCAGGCTGGAGTGCAGTGGCGCTGTCTTGGCTCATGGCAACTTCAGCCTCCTGGGTTCAAGCGATTCTCCTCCTTCAGCCTCCTGAGTAGCTGGGATTATAGGCACGTGCCACCACACCCAGCTAATTTTTGTAGTTTTTAGAAGAGACA